ATGCGAAGGAACAGCACTTTAAAACTCAATTCAGTAAAAATCAAAAATGTCCAAAGAAACTTTGGTCTTTAATTAAAGACCTATCTAAAGATACAAGGAATAATGAGGACTCCGTCCCTATTGCTGACGAAAACAGCAACCTGATAAAGGATGATCGTCATTCAATCGCTGAACGCTTTAACCGCTTCTTCGCTGATGTATATAAACGTCTTATAAAAGCGGCACCTATACTTCATTATGATGCTCTTCTTGGTCCACCAGACAAATTTAACAGTCAAATTGAGAATCTTATTCCGCAAATAACTCCTAGTGAGGTTAACGATTATCTTCTAAGTATACCTACACACAAAGCCACGGGAATCGATGGGCTTGGTGCCAGAGTTCTAAGGATTGCAGCTCCTGAAATATCATGCTCCATAGCTAAAATTATAAATCACTGTATTGAAACTTGTACATTTCCCTCACAATGGAAAATAGAAAAGTTTAAACCACTATTAAAGAATCAAGGAAACAAGCAAGATATTCAAAACTATCGTCCTATCAGTATTTTGCCTATTCTTTCTAAAGTCTTTGAAAGACACATCTTCAATGCAATGAACACCTACTTAACAGAAAATGCACTTTTATACCGCTTCCAATCAGGGTTCCGTAAAAACCACTCCACGGATACTGCTTTATTGTTTCTTCTGGACCAAGTCCTTCTTGACCTTGATAAGAACGATGTCAGCGGCTTAGTCTTTGTGGACTATAGCAAGGCATTCGACTTGATCAATCATGACATTCTCCTAGTAAAGTTAAGATCATATGGATTCCCAGATAATGTTGTAAAGCTATTGCAAAGCTATCTACTCAATCGCAAACAGTGTGTCACTGTAAATAACTCGACTTCGTCACAACTTATGCTAACCAATGGAGTTCCTCAAGGTAGCATATTAGGACCTCTACTGTTTTTAATTTTCGTCAATGATCTTCCCGAAGCTGTTGGATCGGACTCAACTATTCATGCTTACGCGGATGACACCACATTTAAAGCCAGGGCTAATATCGATAATGCACCTTTGGAATTGGAACGACGTCTTCAAGAATACATGGATAAATTAAGTAAATGGTCTAGCGAAAATAGGATGGTCCTAAACGCTGTTAAAACCAAAGAATTACTTATCACCGGAAAGAGGCTACATTCATCATTAGTTGATGGCAATCACCTGTCAGTGACCATTGATGGGGCCGAAATAGAACAAGTAACCTCTTATAAATTGCTTGGTGTAACAATCGATCAAGATCTTACATTTAGTGACCACATTTCTAGCCTAAAGGCCAAGCTTTCTCAGCGTATTGGTTTATTGAAAAAGATAAAGAGATACCTTCCAATAAAAGAAAGACTTTTATACTATAACGCCTTGATTAAACCCGTCCTTATGTACGGGAGCATGGTTTGGAATACCTGCGACGTTAAAGAACTTCACTGTCTCCTAAGGTTACAGAAAAAGGCTGCCCGAGTTATTCTTGGAGTAGACCCTTATTCTAGAAGTGTTGTAAACTTTAGTAAACTAGGCTGGTTGCCTTTTTTTGACGAAATTAAACTAAACAAATGTACCATGATTTTAAGAGCCTCAAATGCGATGTTCCGATTTACATCAGAGATTTGCTCAAGTCGAACAGTTCTGTACACAATAGGTCTACCAGACATGGCAATTTAAATTAAGTGTGTCCCAAATACCTAAGAAATAACGATGGTGGCAAGGCATTCAGTGTTGACGCAGTTAAGTTATGGAACAGCCTTCCCCATGATTTCAAAAAAAAGCCTAGTATAAAACAATTCAAAACAGCTGTGAAAAAACATTTTATAAGCTCATATAAAAACCTGGAAAACTTTGAAACAGTATTAAGCAATAGCATATTATCTAATTTTAAATTTTTATAAATTAATTTTATCTTTCTGAATACTTTTAATATGTATTGCTATTTTTATTATAGAATTTTGTAATTATTTATATATTTATTCATTTATCATTTTTTGTAATACTGTATAATCTAGTCAGAGGGCCACAGGTTTGTCAGCTTTTCAGCTGTTACGTGTCCTCCTCTTCAAATAAAGTCCTTACTATTAACAGATAGCCTAAATCATCGGGAAGATAGTATAGATTACTGAGAGATAGACTAGAACATTGAGGGTAGCATGGGTCAATAATGAGTAACTATAAACATTAAGATATAGCCTTGATCCACCGCGAGACCAGCAGGAGTAAAAAAGATAACTAAGAGATAACTTAGATCCTGAGAGGTTAACTAGAATTGTCGAACAACTAGTTACGATTAAGAACATTAACGTGTATATAAGAAAATAATGGAGTACCTTTGATAAATAGGGGACACAGAGTATAGAAAGATAGAATCTTGATGGAGACAAAAATCGTCAGTGTAGCCGATATCAAAAGAGGGGTACAATGGATCATAAAGCGATAACTTATCGAAATGTATAACAATATTAAGTTTATATTCGCTACATGCGAGTTTCTTCAGTTTCATAAAGATGTTAAAACTTACTAAAATTATCGTCCACCAGAGAATCAGGTTAAAAGTAAATATCCCAGCTCCATTCTACCATAAAATTAAGAATAGAAACGAGACATTCCAGAACTTTGATACTAATACTGCGTTCTTGAACCTGGAAAAATCATATAAAAATAAGACGACATTGATACTATTTATATAAAAACGTGATAAAAAGATGTATTATAATCAACATTGTCAGCACAAAATATTAGAGACATGTTCTAGTCCTTTTCATGTTAATAGACTATGCTCCGGTTTTTTCATGTTGATAGACTATGTCCCAGTCCTTTTTATAATAATAGACTACGTTCCAGTCCTTTTCGAGTGGCATAGATATGAACAAGAGAATGTAGAGAAGTAAACATTATGAAACATATTCATCAACTTACTGGTGTCGCTCCTAATTCAATAGCTTGACGTCCTTGGGCAACTTTAGACAAATCATTGATCAATCTTTGAAAGATATTCGACAAAGCCAATTCACAGTCGTAATTTAAATATATATCAACGACCATCTGTGCGTCTGCAATAAAGGACACGAATGGAAATTAATGGCTAATATGAATGGATATTAATGGATGACAGGAAGATAAAATCAAAATTTAACTGTTGGTATATTGATAATTAGTAAAGGAAAGGTCACACCTCACCTCTTGCACACCCACGAAGAAAATTCGAACGAAAGGATTGTGAAGACTGAATATAGGATGGGATTTGGAAATAAAAGATGCTTAATTTTCGTACAGGGTTAAGCAAACGGAAGAGACATTTGGTAGAACTGGAGACAATGTCAGTGTAAGCTTTACACCAAAAGTTGATGGTTTGCACCAGCTAGAGAGTTCTCACAAAAGTCTCAAGGTTTGTATAAGCCAGTACAAACACAAAAAACATCTTTTATTTCTTTTGCAAAGAATAGTAACGCGAAACAGACAACTTCAAGAAAAAAGTTTAAAATATTTCTCTAACATGTATTCATGATTCATTTGCAAATTATCTTAGAATGATATAATTGATGTAGCTCAGATACGCACGTTTGTACAGGCTAATGCAAACACAGTTTAAGTTTTTATTAAGTAAATAGTGATGTCGGATGAATAGCTTTAGAACATTGAGTTTTGATGTCGTTAAACATTCACGGTGTACATTAAAAAAACACAATTGATTTTATTAAACTTTCTGATGATCAGTGAACGACTCTCAATGAAAACAAAAGGTTTCCAAAGAAATAAATGATCATAAAGTTCCGAAATTTTCATAGCGTGACTAAACTTGAGAACTGACTACGCTACTTAACACAATCGCTTTTATAGAAAATTGATCGATGGTATTTCAAATTTTAGTTGTTTATATAAATACCTTGGTAGAAGCGTTCAAACTTTGGAGGTACTTGTCTTCTTTGGCATAAGAGAAAACTTCAAGCAAAGTACAAATGATTAAATATGGTTTATTACATTGAAACAAGAAGGAAAAGTTTCTCCCTCAAATAAAAATGAAAATAACAAACTGGAAACAGGAAACATTGAGTTGGCGTACTTCATGTAAGAAAAGATACAATATCTTTTAACAAAGGCTACTTTGATGAGGTAAAGGCTTCTCTGCACTAGGTAAATTAATTTCTCATTTGACATTTTCCGTTTTTTGTTAAGTACTTTCAGTAACATATGTTAGTTAAGTTGTAAAGGTTACAAACGTCGGTAACTTTGGTTAAAATGGTTGAACGAGGATACAGATTTTGTTGGAGTGGTCTTCTTTGATTTTGGTAAAACCTTTGATTCAGTTTCAAATAGCGTCGTTGTTTAAAACTTTTCTTTTCCAATCTGACTCCGGTTACTTGGTGTCTCTTGCTTATTTGTTGATCGCATAAGTTTTTATGCTTCGTGCAATTACTTAGCGACATTTTTTCTCTTAGAAATTCAATGAACGATTTTTAAAATAGACTATTGTGTTGTAATTTTTCTTTAGAAACTGAAATATTTTAGTATCCATTTCAAAAAAATAACGAGTGAAAACCAATTATTTACTTGCAGCACTTGACCTCTTATATTGACAACAAAAAAATTGAAAGTATTAATCACAAAGTCCTAGTTTAAACATGATTTTTTTATTTATCTTCAAATTGTAAAAAAAGACCACCGTGATGCTTCATAATAACCTCATACTCATGCAAACTAAATTTAAAACTTGTCAACTCTAATTACGAACTTTAAAACCTTGATCATGTTTCTCCATTCTCCTCTTTTGCATTTGCCTCTTTTCCATCTTTGTAGAATGTAGTCAGTTTTCATAGTCCAATGTAAATGTTCATACATGACATCATGATGTTTTTACATACGGGAATTGTTGACAGTATATAACATTTTCTGTCTTTAAGGTCATATGTACATAATAAACGTACAAAAATAATCTCTCACATTTTTTAACTAATGACCATAAAACCCAAATGGTGTTTTTATACATGTGAATTTTTAACAGCATACAAAACCTATTTCCACGATATTAAATTGTATTTACAGTTCTTGAAAGCGAGTCTAAAGAAAGTCACTCTATAATTTAAACAATATAATCTTCATCTACAACAACACCATATTATCAAATGACTCACAATGAATGAGTTGCCGACATTTATTCATTTCTATGTAGTGAACGTCTTATTTATAATATTATATAATAGCCGGAAGAATTTAAGAAATTTCATTAGTCGAGAGCTATGATCTATAACAAGACAGACACACGGAATTAAGGTCACAGAAAATTCCTTGTTTTTAAATGACAAACGAACGGAGAATTTATTTGAATATTTACCTGAATATATCCCTGAATGGGCAAATAAAGAAATTAAGAATGCCCAGTTGAAGCATTGGACGTATTTGAGCAAAAAGAAAAGAAAAAACCCGGTTTTCAAACATTGATTTGCCACGGCGGCTCGTGGCCACTCAGTTTTTATCACAATGACGTCATACCCGTGTATCTATAACCATAGGCGTACGGGGGGGGTGGGCTGGGGGGGCTGCAGCCCCCCCAATTTCTCGAGAATTTGTGTATTCGGGCAAGCATTTACATGATATTCTGGCAAGATACTTACTACAGTTTAGTCCAGCTCCCCCTAAAAATATGTGCCCGTACGCCTATGTCTATAACTGTATAGACAACTGTTAAATGTTATCTATTTGTTAAATAAAAATAACCAAATTATCTAACCATACATTTTTATTAAAAAGTAAATCATCAACATGAAATGTGTTCAGAGGTACAATACATAATAATAAGTTTGACAGAGCATGTTACAGTAGTAATCAAATCTAGAGGATGCCCTGTTTAAATGACAATTCATTTATGAAGATTACAAGTAGAATCTTAGAAAAGAATAAACAAATATTCATGATCAATTAGTATAGAAGCGCTATTTTTAAATACAAGTCATTTGTGTTATAAAAAGCAATTATACATCGTTTGAGATTATTGCAAAACATAAATAATATTTTACATTGTTTAATAGCAGGAAGTAAGACATTCCAACATATAGTACCGATAAATTTAAAAGATCTTTTGCAAAATTGGTCCAAATTTATTTTTGGTAAATATAGATAATTTCTTAAAGATTGCCTGCTAGAATAAGTATATTCCTTCTGTAGAAAACTATAGTAGGTCGAAACAAGCAATCATCCTTACGACCATCAACATCTATGTCCAATTTTCTCAACAGGTTTTTGAATTTACTATTAAAGTTTGAGTTGATGTATTTATTAAGGAACATTAAGTTTTAAAAATTGAATTAAGCAATCAAAACTGTCAACCAAAGCTATAGTTCCTGTGTTGGAATGCATAGTTATATTAGGCCTTGAATAATGTTTGTTGAATTTATCGCATACTTTACCACTCTTTAAATCTACAGCAAGCAATGACTCATCGAACACTCCAATGCAATAAGATTTGTGCATGATTAGGTCGGAGCCCAAGTAATATCCATAGACATCACGAAAAATCTTATTCACATCACCATTCTCGTGAACATTAATTACATAAATGTTTTGGCAAAATGCTATGACTACTTGTTTACTATCACTTATACAGCAGTTGAACCAATGATCATCTACAGTTTCCTGTTCTTGAGCAAATCTTTCAATGACATCTGTTATGGGTATTTCTGCAGTATGCCAAGGTTTCAAGTAAAGTTTATTGTTGTTAGTTCTCCATTTCCATAATGTGTATTCTGTAATGTTTACAGTTAAAATAACAGAATTATCAGGTGATACAGCTGCTGCTTTAAATTTTGAACTATCAACAGGAAGTCTTTTGTTGTATTGTATCTCACCCTTGGTAATTCTAACAACTTGAATAAACTTTTCTTCGTCAATACAAACTAAGACATCACCAAATGTTAAGATTTTCTTAGGTTTACATCCAATGTTAACATGCTTTGCTTGAGTAGAATCTACAAAATTTTCAGACGAAGTTGATATCTTCATAAAATGATGAGAACCATCCCATATCCACAGTAAACCATCTGACCACCAACATCCTAATGCATTCTTCAGTTGCATAGGTACAGTTTGAATAATAGTGCAACGTTCAATGTTCCAAATTTGAATGTTGACGTGGTCACCAACAGCGAAAGCAGCCAAAACAGATCCATCCGGTGAAAAGCAACAACATTTAATATAGAATTCCTCAAAGATAAATGAAGGTCTCCAAAGATGATCAGTTTTGAAAATTTTAAGCTTGGAAATATACGGCACAACGTAAAATTCCTTAAACGAGATGGGATGGACTTTGTTAAGAGTCCTATGAACACATAGACACTCAACACTTGGTAAACAAAACTCGATTTCTCCTTGATCGTTGTATTTTGTCAACTGAGTGATGTCAGAAAGCTTTCCATTCTGGCTTGTATAATAAAAAATACAATCACGATAATGGTGTGTTATATTTGAATTTGCAAATAGTGAATCTTCATCAGGAAAAATATCGATTGCCTTTGGGAATTGAAAAACATACGAAGTGTTATCAATGAAAGGAACAATGAACTCTAAATATTTATCGGTGTATTGTACTTTTTTGTAATCAACAACGCAGCGTCGATCGATTCTTTGCAAAGTTAATGAATTCCATACAGTGAGCACTTTTATGCCAAGATAACCGAACTCAACATTATCTACATATTCTGCTGTAATAAACAAGCCAGAATCTAAGAAAGAGCAACGATTAACGACATCATCTGACTGTAAACATAATAACAAACGTTCATTGTTAACGTCCCACAACTTTACTTCAGTAGATCCATCACTAGTTACCAGTCTATTTCCGGAAGGTGAAAAGGAGCAACAACAGATGCTTCCACGTAAAAAACAAGATTTGTTTAATGTTGAATAGTCATAGAAGTCATTGTCAGAGATGTCATACAGGAACAGGGGCGGATCTAGAGTATGTCAAATCCGTCGCGCGACTGATGTTTGAAATTCAAAAATTACCTATTCATATTAATTAAAAATTCATTAATTATTCTTACTTTATTATCGCATTTACTTCGTGATAAAAATCCAGCTTTATTTATTATTGAAAACTAATGACTAATCCAATGAATATCTCGTTGGTAACCAGATCAGTTGAATTTTAATTGACCTGGAATAACCGACTGATAAGCGGGGTGGCTTGACTGGTTCGACGGATAAAGGAGTCTATAAACGCCAGAAACGCTATTTTATTGGTCTATGGCCGGATCAGTGGACAATCTGGAACAATATCGACCAATAATAAGGGTGGCCGGACCTATAAGGGAGTCCAATTGCTATCTTACAATTGGTTCATTTGAATTTTTGTCTTACTGTGATTGGTTTGACCGATTTCGACTGATAGCCAACTGAACTAACATAGTCAAGCTCAATGTCTGAATTGAATGTTTGATCGTTCATAGTAATTTTTATAAGCATGATAGAAACTAAACAACAATCAGATGGAATTTATGGAAATCTTTTACAAACTCATATGTTGACATGAATGCTGCTTTCCAAACTGAGAATTTTTTCAAGAGGGTGAAAAATTTATGGATGAATTGTAAATGCTTGGCAAAGACGATCTCGCGAGCGACATTTCAGTCATTGATGTTCAAAAGAAAGCCAACATTGTTTTGAGTTTTATCAGCAGAAATTTACATCGAAAATCGTAAGTAAAGGACAAGTGAAGTTATGCATGAATGCAATATATCAAAGTCAATTTATGCGAGTGTGTGATGCGATTTATGTTAATATGGCGTATGGTAAGCAGATTGATGCTTCTAAAATTGTTGTTGCCGAAGGACTTTTAGCTATGATTTCTTTAATGCTTGGGGAATCGTGGCCGTTATATGGCATCGAAATCCTAAATTTCTGCAAATATATTTCAATGGACAAAAAATCTGTAGCCATAAGGTGCCATACTATTATTTACTTTATCATAAACAAATGTTTGGGGCTTTTCAGTTTATGATCATTGATCATTCAATCATTGGACAGTTATACTACATATTGTTTAAGATTTGAGAAAACTAACATTGATTACATGAGAAGCTGTTTACTATAACCTGTGATTTTGAGTCTTCTGATCCATGAAGCTTTTTATTTTGACAATTTGACTGGAATGGTATTAAACCTGAGTATTTCACATACATGAAATGTTGTCCCATGTCACATATTGTCCCCTTTTCTAACTGAACACCTCATGTAGAGATGTAAAGGTGTGTTAATCTACGGCTCATACCAGATTGTTTGCCATAAATTCCAAAGGGCTATTGATGTATGAAAAGCATCTTCTATAAAGTAAAAATGTCTTCCTATGTATGCAGATAAACCTTGAAATTTGGCAAAACAGCAAAGTATTTTTCATGATCACTAGGTAATTTTTCTGATGATCATTATAATTTCTAAACTAAATTATTTTAGACTTACATTTAAACAAGCTTTGATCATATGAAAAGATATTTATCATAACCAGTAAGCATGACACATGAACAAATTTTAACATTCATGTAATTATATAATTAAGGACATGTTGGTTACATTCTGTTTGTATTTGCAAATACAATGCTACTAGTGATTGCTATATAGCACACCTTGCAGAAGATAATAGTCTAGTGAAATGCCTAATAAACATTTATGGCACTAAGCTAACCTTAACTGCAAATTTTCACTCTGATAATTTTTGCTTAATCTTTGGCAGAAAAAAATTTTGAGTTTTTCTCAAAAGGTGAATTTGCTGGCATTGATGTGGAGATGGGTAAAGAGTTACAATAAACTTGCATGGTTTGAAGTCTGAGCTTTTCTATATCTATGAACTGTCACTTGTAGTACCAAATTTCTAACTTAACTTATTACATAGAGGTTTGAATGGGGGTCTCTGGGGGGGTCTATGCCTGACAACTTGGTAGAAATTTTAAAGAATATATCTGTTTTTGAATAGCATTATTGTAAAATAAATTTACGTTCCTAGACATGCTAATGAGCCATATATTTGGCATGATAATGAGCCTAAATATTTGGCAAAACATTCAAGTATTGTTCACTTTTTTTCTTTTTTTTTTGAAAAAAAACGTAAGAAAAATGTGTTGTTTTTACGCAAAAACGATGCCCACAAAATACATTTTGTATTGCTCTAAAACGCTGAAAATGGCATTTTCAAGACTCTGAAATTCAAAATTTCTCAGGGGAGAATGCCTCAGACCCCCCCAGGTGCGGAGCGCCTCCGACGTTTTATGACTGATGTTTGAAAAATCCTGGATCCGCCCATGTACAGGAACATAAATGTGTCTACATCATCCCACTTATCCAACCTTGAATCATGGAGTGCATTGCCGAGAGTGCATCGTTGTTCGAATTCTGGAAGTTCAAAAATAGATATTTGACCATTTTCATATCCTACAGCAAGAAGTTCTTCATTGGACGACACACAAAGAGATGTAACGTTAGCAAGCAAGGACTCAGTCAAATGATCATGGTTTGTTAAATATGTTGAGTCTAAATCCTCAAACCAAACAAGCTTTCCTTGTTTCAATAAGTCCTTTGCCAATAATCTTTTTTCGTTACTGCCATGAATTCTGTTTGCAATAATTTGTAAATAAATTAAGCTTTCATCAAACTTATTTGACACCTTTCTTGTCATAAAGAAATGAAATAGTACTTCCTCAAGTACATCTTTTTTCAAGAAAGTTCGTACTTCCTTAATGATTTCAAACAATTCAGACTCAATGGTATAAAAGTTAAAGTCTTCCACACACATTAACCTCGCATAAACCACTTTGACATCTACTGCCCAACTAAATTCAACATTTTCGCCACATTGTGACATATGATAGATTCCATTCTTCAAAGCATATTTAATCATAGCAGTGTTCATCTGATCTTCAAAAATGTTCATAGACTTAATTTGTTTAAACACTTTCTCACAAGCATGCCATAAAAACTTATGACCATTTTTTGGATTAACTGTAAACTCATGCTCTTCATAACCATCTGATTTTAACCAATCAATTAGAGATTTGTGATACACGGTTAAACAATCATCGTAAACTGGCCAAATTTGAGATAACAGTTCAATGATTTTACTGCGGACTTCAAACTTGATGTCACCAGACAAACCTAAATAGCTAAACAATAAAGTTAATGGTAAAAACTCCCGACAGGGAGCCAACAATTCAAGAAATTGCGTGAAAGTATTTTCTGCGATAACAGAATTTCTGGGACTTTTCTTCGTTAACAATTCTTTTACTCTTTTGAATTGCTTTGTGTAAACACCGCTTAACCCACTAGGGACCAATTGTCGAATGTTTTTCTGAGTAAGCTCAATATTTTGTTCTTTCAAGCTCAGTTGTGCGTAATACGCATAAAGAAATGATCCCTCACATTTTTCAACTAATGGAAATAGAGCGAAGGGATCTTCCTGCACCCGATCATTCAACTGATGTCTCAAATACTTTTTCACGCTCATGTTCAACTCATGTTCAAAATACTTGTGCAGATCTTTTTCGTTGTTTTTATCTCGAGGCTTAGTTTTTATTTCCACAGGATTCATGACGTTCAACTCCTTTTGAACAGGAAGTTCTGGACGACTGGTGAAGAAGATTTTAATCCATTTAGGCAGTCGATCAAACTCTTCTACAATCAATTCCAACAATTCACTTTTGCCATCAACTTGACTTTCATCTAAGGCATCAATAACCAAAAGCATTGGCTTATGATCTTTTAATGAATGCAATGGATTATTTAATAAAACACAGAATGCATCGGTGACTGATTCGTAGGAATGTTTTCTCTGTAATTCTTCATTCAATTTACTTTTAAAATCTGATATTGTATCACACATGCTACTAACCAATTATTCTATCAACATTCGAGGATTCCTCTCATCTGATCGATTAAATCTGCAGAAATGAGAAGCAGCAAGTTTCTTCTTTTTAGAATATCGTCGACACACCTCAGCAGCAAACACACTTTTACCAACGCCAGGACCGGCAATCAAAATCATAACATTAGAAGCATCTTCACTTCTATCGTTAAACCAAGTATCGAGTTTTTTAAATAACCATTGTCTAGTGCCTTCAAGGTATTTCTTGTTAAGATCTTTTATAAGACCGTTAAAATTACACTTTCCAAGCTTTTCGACAACTGAATATGTTTTGTCCTGTAACATTTTTTTCACTCCTGCTACATAAGCTTTTGTTTTCTTTACATCCTCATTTATGTTCGCAACTTTTGTTGCCATCTCTACAACATTTCTATTCATTACTTTCACATCTTCTTTGATTTTTTCAGTGACATCGATTAACTGCTCTTCTGCTTTATACCATTCTTTTAACATTTCAATATAATTTGCCTCATCGGAACTAAGGGGAGCTTTCTTTAATTCATCTATTTCAGTTTGTTGAATACCCAGACCAACCAATGCTTTTGAAATTTCCTGCCACAAGTACTCAAAGTCACTGTCATTTACAATAGTTGTAGTTATGTGACCGCACACTTTGTTTCGATAAAACTTTATTCTTGCAATATTTGCTGAGGTTGAAGAGTCTGAAGAGGAAGGATTATCGCATCCACCATGTGGCGCTGTTAGACCACATATGTTACGCAATAGGACAGTCAATAATGAAATATCAAACTTTTTAATGTCAGGTGAACCAGTTGATGGATAAAGAAGATTCCATTGCATTTCATTGATGACTTTTTTCTTTTTTAGTAAGGTCAATTTGTTCATTGTAGAAGAATCATTAGTTCATTGCTCAAACTTGATGATAAATTGTTAAAATGTAATTGCAATGTTGTTTTTAAGGCTTGGGTTCCTTTATTGATTAAAAGTTTACTCAAACGAGATCCATTTTCCTCAATCCTTAATTTGTTAGGTGACGAAGCCATTTTTTATTCTAGAATTGAGGAATGAGTTTGATAAAAAAGATATAATTTAAAATGTACAAAATGAATACAAATTTAAAAGGATAAATTAAAAATAGTACTACAAGTCATTTATAAAGACTTGTGCGCTTTATTTCTTTCTCTCGATAAAAATTGTGTTTACTGCCTAGTGACATGACCCAGTAATTGATCTTAGATCAAGGCATGAAAATAGTAGACTTGATACAATGAAAAAACACTTAAAATGATAATATTTTCGCCTAATCGTTGCGAGAGGCAGCATATACCTTGCGATAGTAACTCCTAGTTAATAAATAATATATCTTATTTGTCTAACAATCGTGTGGTGAAGAGATAGGTCATTCTTTTAACAGGATATATCAAACTGGTTTGCTGTGTTGTATGAATATTTGCTTATTAACATTTTGATAGGACTATATTGCTGATTCTGTTGCAATTTAAATTTTTGCTAGACTGCAGTTTAGCGGACACCCGAAGCGCTTGTGACTGCGGGCTCGTTTTCCCTTGGGATTATAAGGTAGGGTTTGGGTCAGCGTCCAAGGTGTCCGCTAAACTGCAGTAGTCCCCCATAGGACCATAGCTTAATTCTAATAATATATTTAAATTCTTCGTCATTTTTGACAATCTGTTAAATCCAAATCGACATCATTACTAATTCAAATCAAAATAAAGAAAACTATCTCCTATTTGCTTTATATTTTCCTCACCAAAACACAGAACACAGGGTGAGAGATAAACAACGCGACATATGAATAAAAGACGGAACAAAATACAAATACGAAATGCATAGTGTATCAAGTTCCTTGTATTTTATTCCCAAACGAGAAATATTTGACGTCTGTAATCACCAGTGAAGTGTATAAATGAATGATATTTTCAGCTGCAAGACTTTGACTATAGTCACTAATACAAAGTGCAGATTATACGCTCTAAATCATAAGTAATTGAAGAACAACATAAGTATTGACTTTACTTAAAATAATTCTATTCGTGATCGTTCGCATATACGAGTATCACTGATGACACAGCCGAGGACATCACGACGAACAAACACTCACTGCCTCACTCAGACACTTTTTCAGTATGGCATAGTGGTTAGCCGCGCATGCACAGCGGCTACCCACAAAAACTAACTAGTGATAAATTATATTATTGTTATAATACAGTATAACTTGACGTCTACAACTGCTCCCCCATAAAAATTTCTCGACTTTGTGTTGTTACACGATTTAATTAAGTAACTAAAACAGTTAGACACGTTGGAAAACAAAACAAGTATCTTGATTTCAGTTTCTCAGTGTACATGCTAAATCAAAGTTCATCTAAGAATAAATTACGTGCAAAATGAATGATGATAAAATATGTACGTTATCTGGCGTTCATTTTGAACACTTCAACATAATCTTTACTTTACACTTATACATTGTATTGTTTTTTAAAGTGTAATTATATTAAGAAATAATGATTGATGATGAAATATATACCTTATCATGAGTTCATTTTGACCCCTGGAACCTAATCTTTACTTTTCATTTGTACATTGTACTGTTTACTTAAGTATAATTATATTTAAAAAGAAATGTCACATTATGACGTGGCTTCTGTGAATGTCAAACGCATCACTGACTCAGAATTATTTATTGTCAAACCTTTTCTTCGTGTAAGAGCCGCAATTTTTATAGTGGATAATTTGAAACAAAAAATGAAACCTACTTTCCAGTCGAGGTATTAAATATAGCTTTAAAAGTCTCTTACAGAATCATCCAAACGATTTTCATTTGGAATGGAAATAAACATTGATTTGTTTATAGTCATACTTAATACTACGTAATGCTTCTGTAACAAATTTGTTAAGTTAAAAAATGTAAAGACAAAATTTCGGTTAACTTACGTAAAATAACCTTTGTTTTAGAAATAAGGCTTTATATACGACGACCTTGTGGACAAAATTATGCTTTCTTTAGTTCTTTACATGTTACATACCTAACAAAAGATGAGAAAGTTAATATAAAAAACGCCACTACATACATATCAGTTAAAAAAAGGTGATCATAATTCATACATTATTGAAACATCACTTTTTATCCGTATGAGTTTTATTACATAACTAGATTTAAATACGAACAAAGATGAAGAGTGAGTCAGGATCTCCTTCAACAAACAGTATTGTAAAACATTAATGACATCTATGTAGAGCATTCTAGTTATATAACTAAGTATACATCACTGATTTAAACAATTGTTATAGAAATAAAAGTCCATAAATAAGAACCTTGACGAGGAATGCACTCCTCAGCTGGTTCACTAACACTCTTCGTTTTCAACCTTTTATTTTACAAGCTATACAAGCTACAAGTACATCACTGGAGTATTTTTACGCTATCTATTAGAGTTAATTATTTACATGTATTTATACTAACGGTAATTACAACAAAACATAAGTCGAGCTTTCCGTTTACTTCATTAGCAGTACTCACTCTTTTATTGCGTTTCAAGTTTTCACGCGTTGCAACAAAAAAGAACTAACTAAACAAACGAAGAACTTACAAAACGTACTTAAAACATAGAAATGTTAAAGTGAAACTAACATAGTTACGACAATTTTATTGCTAAGTTCAAAAGAATGCAATATCCCACACACCCTTCCTTGAACACTTATGGTTCAAGCATTGCTGAGGTTTTCTACTTAGAGAGTCCAACGCTGCGGCTTGACGAAATACTCGTGGCCTTGCTTCCTCGCCAACCTGACTAGATTCACCTTTACAAGTCTTATTTTTACGTGTCTCAACCTCATTCAAACATTCTTCACTTATTTCCAAGGGATGCAGCTTTTGCAGTGGCCTGTTTAAAGCCCTTGATCGTCCCTTCTCAACCATTCTAACAGTTGCACACCGAACGACGCCATCCTTACCCTTAACCAACCTCTCCATAACAGCTAACTTCAAAAAGCCACGCTTTAATCCTTCATCATAAACTAACAAAACGTCTCCAACCTTTGCAATTGAACCTTTCACCTTACCCTTTCCTTTGTGAATCTCTCTTAAATTCGTTAAATATTCTCTTCTCCATCGATTCCAAAAATGATTTCTCAAATTAATCATAAATCTATAACGTTTACGAAGGTTCTTAGCCTCATCTATATCTTTGTCCATTGTACATATTACATCGTCAGATAAAGAATCCAATCTATATCCAAATATCAAGTGTGAGGGTGTCAATACTTCTCCGTCGGTCTCGTCGTAGTCATAAGTCAACGGTCGTGAGTTAACAATTCCTTCACTTTCAATCAAATTTGTGAGAAGTTCGTCGTAAGTCAATTTTCCTTGTCGTAAAACTTTCCTCAACGCTCGCTTTACTGTCCCTACCATTCGCTCAAAAACCCACCCCACCAATGGGAATTTTCAAGATTGAACTTCCATTCTACGTGGCTATGTGCAAAGTACCCATGCACTTCTTCATTGTTACGTAAATCCTTAAGTAACCGAGCTTTGAATGTTTTCGCGTTGTCCGAAACTATCAAAGGTGGACGTCCTCTACGAGAAATAAATCCGCGTAAACACTTGATGAAGGTGTTCGTTGACAAATCTTGTACTAGATCTAAATGTACAGCTCTAGTGACACAGCAAGTCCAAAGCGCGATGTAAACTTTCTTTGTTTCTTTCTTTTCATTAACGTACAACGGTCCTGCAAAATCTACTCCTACATTCCCGAACGGAGCTACCTGGCGTACTAGAAATTCTAGTAAACTTGCTACTTTTGGACTGGGAAACGCTTTCCCTCCATGTCTCCTACACTTCAAGCACTTTCCTATTATACTCTTCACGACCTGTCGACCCTTTGGTATCCAAAACCTGCTTCTAACCTGAGCCAAAGTTACTCTAAGCCCACTATGTAGAACACTCTCATGACAAGCCTTAACGATCAGAGTGGTGAGTGGATGTGCTCTAGGCAATGCTACTGACTCTCTACCTTCTAAATAAAAGTCAGCGTTTTTCAACCTTCCCTAACATCTCAACAAATCATCCTTTTCTACAATTTCAAGTTCATGTGCTAATTGGTCGTAATTTCCCTGCAGACGAAGCTCATTCTGCGCTGTCTTCAACCACATCCTTTCTGCCTCTCTTATCTCGAAAGCTTTTATAGTCCCTTTCCTCATTGCACTCATATCTTTGCGGGCACGCAAATTGTTAATAAAACGTAGAATATATGCAGTTACTCTGAGAAACTTGCCAAGATTTGCAAAACGCTCTATATTTAAAACATTTGCAATGCTACATGCATTTCGTGTCACTTGGCTTACCATTGCTGCCTTTTATCTCTTGGCGCGATTCTGATGTCTCTTTGATCATGCAGTTAGCTGGCCAAAAACCTTCCGAACTTGATAACCATGGGTGACCTTTCCACCACAAGTTCCTTCCCTTAAGCAAAGACGCGCTGCAACCCCGCGATCCTATATCGCCTGGAGTTTGTTCACCTGGGCAATGTCCCCAGCTTGGCTTGTCGCTCAATTTTAAAATCTCATTAACGCGATGTCTGACAAATTGTTTCCATTCAACTTCATTTTAAATCCAACATAACACAGTCTTACTATCTACCCAATATCTGCATCTCAAGTTATGAACTTCTGATCCTAGTGCAATCAATACAGTAGACATTAGCCTTGCTTGGATAAAGGCTGACATAAGTTCTAGACAAGGAATCGTCAGTGCCTTTATTGGAGCAACTCTAGTCTTAGATGTCAACAATTCGGCATGGTAGGCGCCATTCAATTCAAAGACAAAGTAAATTACAGCACAATAAGCTTTAACACTAGCATCAGAAAATCCATGCAACATACATTTCACTGGCTTATCTATTTTTCCATTTATACATTTGTTAACAACAATCTCTTGTAATATGTTCAAGTCATTTACCCATGCATTCCATATATTACACATATTGCTGTTAATATCACTATCCCAGTCTAACCCTTCCTTACAAATATCCTTGATGAAAATTTTGATTGTTATCACAATTGGACAAACAATTCCTAATGGATCGTAAAGAGTAGCTAAAATACTTAAGATGTTACGCCTAGTCGGCTTGACCCCCACTGCCTTTGATGCAATTCGGTCTATTTCAAAATGAAAAGTATCACAATGAAAATTTCATGGAAGGCCTAGAATCCTTTCGAATTTCGTCTCATTGTTAGCTCCAAAAGTGCTCTTCGCAAAAGAGTCTTCTTCGGCTTGTGAAAGAGAATCTATAACAGGCTCACCCTCTTCCCGTGCAATCATTTTACGAACTTTCGCGCTATTACTCAACCATTACCGCAATCGAAATCCTCCATTCAACAACAATTTTTTCGATTTTGAATAAAGTTCTATCTCATCGTTTTCAGTTTTATCTCCCGAAATAAGATCATCTACATAAAAACTATTTTTAAGTTTCTGAACAAAGTCGCCATTACATTCAACAAATATATCAAAATGGTAACAAAATGTCGCATTCAAAAGAAATGGAGAACAGTTCACGCCAAATACAACTCAACAAAATCGGATGACCATTGGTCTAATAGTGCAAGAATTTACGTCGCCTACCCACAAAAATCGTAAAACATCGCGGTCTTCCTTAGCGACCTCAACGTTCAAAAAAGCCTTTTCGTTATCCGCAACAAGCGCAACACGCTTTTCCGTAAAGCGCAACAAAATATCAAAAAGAACAAAGACGGACCGACAAGCAAACAATCATTCAAAGACGAACTATTCTTACTCTCCTTGCAAGATGCATCGTACACCACTCTAACCTTGGTACTTTTTGCTTCTTTTCTGACAACTGCGTGATGTGGTAAATAATGTACTCTCTCTGGTTTCTCCAATTCAACCACTTTCTCTATTATTCCGGATTCTAACTGCTCTTTGATTATCTTATCATATTCGTTTAAGGTGTTTGAGTCTTATCTCAGCTTCGTCAATGGTCTTTAAGACGTTATACAGTGACATTTTTGTTTGAGGGCAAGGGATTGTGGCCATATAGTCAGACAATAGTTGGTACAACTTGAGTCAGTTATTTTCAAACGAATAAAAGGATCATGAAAAAAATACATAAATTATGTTGATTTCTTTGTGGCTATAACCGTTTTGTGTTCATAAAAATTGGAAAAACTGAAAAACAGTAAAAGAAATGAGTAACAGACAGTTTTTCTTGCAACGTGACCTGCTTGTCGTAAATTTTATGAATTTATCAATAATAATATGGACGATGTACAACTTATCAGTATAAAATAGTATACGGGAAGAAATTTTCATCAATAATAAAAACAAGTGAAGTATCTTTCTCTTTCTGTAAGCAAGAACATTACTAAAGAAGTAAGAGCATGGTAAAATGGGAACTATTTACGTTAAATTACGCACATGCATTTGTCATGAGAAGTTTAAAGCATTGAGTTGCTGAGGAAGACTTTCTTTCCAATCGTGGCAAAGAGGAAACTTTGTAATTTTATATTGTTGAATGTTTATATATACAGAGGCTGCAAACGCTGTTTCCGGTTGTTTCAATACGCATTTTTGATGGTCGCATTTTATCGACGCATTTGATTAATGCATTGTAACACATTGAGTTGAAGTATTGAACAGACGAATTGGATAAGCATTTTTTGATTTTAATACTCGTGGTAATGAAGCAACGTTTGTCGTCAAAGGAGTCGTGATCTAGCATCCCGCACAACAGAACGCTTAGGTTGTGTGACAATGGCACTATAAATCTATAATTACCTATCAATGTGGTAATGTATACTTGATGCATATCGTTCGTGGTTTTAAATATTAAAATATCGTCGTTTTGATAGATAAACAGATCATTTGTGTTTATATGATGAAACGCAATTTGATATACTAAGCATAAATATATATTATCGTATTGTCCAATAGATGAAGCGCTATTTAGCTTATAGTTTCGTTTCACGTTGATTTTTCTTTCTCAGAAGTTAGAATCGTCTTATATACGGCATAATATCATCTGTGTATCTACTGAAAATGTGGATGAACAGTCAATGAATCCAAGTGGACGAGTATTCTGACATTTAGTCAAGCTTGGCAGAATCTTGGATCTATTACTGAATAGAACTACATTAATTTTCCCTTGAAATTACAAACTTGGAAACTAAAGAGCATTGGAGCAAGAAATTTATCAAGTTCTATAGATATTATTGTGCAATACTTACAGTTTTTTGGAATTGTGTAATATATGTCATGAACAAGTTATAATTTTTCAAAAATGCCAACCCCTTCAAGCACTACTACTCTTCTGTTTTCCTTAAACAACTTACAGCTACCAATACTATTTATTTATATGTACAAACTAACATTTGGGAATTAAATGATAAACAACTTGTTAAATCTTTGTATTTTACATCAAGCCTTTGAATTAGTTCCTTTTATCTCTTGGTAAAAAAATATTAATGAAAGACTTACAAATCAAGTTTCTCGAAAATAGTATTTTGTACAAAGAAACTAAATAATTGGAAAGGTCACATGTTGAAGACAAACTTTGCTTCTTTGACTAGGTTGCTTGACCATGAGCAAATTTAAATTTGTTTACAATTTGTTTAAAGAATTCTTTTTATTGATTTCTACTAATTCTTCATAAGACACAAAGAATTTTTTGCAAACTATTTTTGCTTCTTCTACATTCAACTTCATTGTAACCAATGCATCCGATGTGAATTTGTGGATCACCTGGAATCATACCAAGTATGGATTTAATGAGATGAGACAATAATATGTTTAATTTTTCATGCATATTATTGATAAAATCATAAGCTACTGTTAAACAAAAATTTCAAGGTAGAAACAAATCTTAGCACATTGTTCAACACATTGCTTTTATCTTGGTTTTGAAGTAGTAACCTGTTTACTATAACAATAAATACTTCATTTACAGAAGCGCTAAGTAGTACTTTAAATTTTTTTGCATAAATCCAACTTTCCAATCCCATTATAATTGTCTACACTAGACAGTCAGTCAAATTGAGCAGGCAAACAGTTTAATAGTTATTTTTATTATACAACATACCATAGTTCTCATTAATTTTGCATGGCGCTGCATTCAATTTCAACACAACTCTGTTGTAAAGTTTCCCTTCATCTTTTCAAAAAAAAACATGAACAAATTATGCCCCATTTTTGGGAGGTAAACTCAATTCAAATCAGGAGAGTTTAGCTTGATGCCTTGATCATGATGCAAGATTGATGCAAAACTCGATAAAAATTGACAGCTTCGCCACGTCTGGCGAGCGATTAAGTGAAGAACAAACAAGACTGGACCGAAACAACTTTAAATTAAAACTTAGTAGTAGAAACACTCTTCAAGTATCGTGTTAAAAACAAAATAGTAAAACTCATATTGTGCTACTAATATAGTGGTCAAAAACATGGCGGATTTTGGTGGTCAAAGTCAGCGGAGAGACGCGGGCTCATGAAATATAATTTTTGTCGCCCACCCTGATTTGACCACCACGATTGCGAGTATAGAAAATATCAAAACTATTTATTTTCCTAAAATAACACTTTTTTAAAATTTTATTTATTAAACTGCCAACTTTTGTGGTTTGCGGATGCTGAAATAGCGACAGAAAAGGGAACATTTCTTGACTCCGGTAAGTAGCACAGTATTAGTTTTACCATTTTGTTTTTAACACGATACTTGAAGAGTGTTTCTACTACTAAGTTTTAATTTAAAGTTATTTTGGTCCAGTCTTGTTTGTTCTTCACTTAATCGCTCGCCAGACGTGTCGAAGCTGTCAATTTTTATCGAGGTTTGCATCCATCTTGTATCATCATCAAAGCATCAAGCTAAACTCTCCTGAATTTGAATTTATTTGAATTTGAATTTGAATTTGAATAGATTCCATTCTTCAAAGCATATTTAATCATAGCAGTGTTCATCTAAACTTTAAAAATGTTCATCGACTTGATGTGTTCAAACACTTTCTCACAAGCATGCCATAAGAACTTATGACCATTTTTTGGATCAACTGTAAACTCATGCTGTTCGTAACCATCTGATTTTAACCAATCAATTAGAGACTTGTGATATACGGTTAAACAATCATTGTAAGCTGGCAAAATTTGAGATAACGGTTAAATGATTTTATTGCTGACTTCAAACTTTTTGTCACCAGAAAAACCTAAATAGCTAAACAGTAGAGTTAAAGGTAAAAACTCCCGACAGGCAGCCAACAATACAAGAACTTGCATGAAAGTAGTTTCTGAGATAACAGAATTTACGGGACTTTCTTTCGCTAAATCTTTTACTCTTTTGTATTGCTTTTTGTAAACACCGCTTAACCCACTAGGGACCAATTGTTCAATATTCTCGTACGTAAGTTCAGTTTTTTCTGTCTTTAAGCTCAGTTGTGTGTGGTAAGCATAAAGAAACGATCCCTCACATTTTCTAGCTAATGACCATAGAACGTAGGGATCTTCCTGCACCCGATTATTCGACTGATGTCTCAAATACTTGTGTAGGTCTTCTTCGTTGTTTTTATCACGAGGACGAGTTGTAATTTCCACAGGATTCATGTCTTTCAACTTCTTTTGAACAGGAAGTTCTGGACGACTCTTGATGAAGATTTTAATCCATTTAGGCAATCGATCAAACTCTTCTGCAAACAATTCCAACAATTCACTTTTGCCATCAATTTGGCTTTCGTCTAAGGCTTCAATAATCAAAAGCTTTGGTTCATGATCTTCCAATGAATGCAATGGATTATTTAATAAAACACGGAATGCATCGGTGACTGATTCGTAGGAATGTTTTCTCTGTAATTCTTCATTCAGTTTACTTTTAAAATTTGATATTGTATCACACATGCTATTAGCTAATGATTCTATCAACATTCGAGGATTCCTCTCATCTGCTCTATTATATCTGCAGAAATGAGAAACAGCAAGTTTCTTCTTTTCAGAATATCGTCGACACACCTCAGCAGCAAAAACACTTTTACCAACGCCAGGACCGGCAATCAAAATCATAACATTAGAAGCATCTTCACTTCTATCGTTAAACCAAGTGTCGAGTTTTTCAAATAACCATTTTCTAGTGTCTTAAAAGTATTTCTTGTTAAGCTCTTCTATAAGACCTTTCAAATTACACTTCGCAAGATTCAAACATGTTTTCCCCCGTAACATTTCTTTTGCTTCTATTAATTCTGATTTGGTTGCCAACTCTTGTTTCATTTCTGCTACATCAGCTTTTGTTGACATGCTTTCTTTAAGTTTCTTCACGTTATTTTTTCATTTCATTAACATTTTTTTTGTTTTCTGCAACATCTTTTCTCAATCCTTCCACATCTTCTGCATTACACGAGCTTTTCAATATTTCAATATATTTTACTTCATCATTACCGAGAGGAGCTTTCTTTAATTCATCTATTTCAGTTTGTTGAATACCTAGACCAAGCAATGCTTTTGAAATTTCCTGCCACAAATGCTCAAACTCACTATCATTCAAAGCTTTTCTACAATTTTTTGCTTCTTATTTCTTTTCATTAGATTAATGGCATATGGTTAAAATAATCCAATAACTTTATAATTTCTAAAAAGCTTTTAAGCTTCTAGCACAAAAGTACACTATAGGTATTTAATTCATTTGATTATATTGCCTTGCTATGACATATCTACTTGCACTTCATCATTCTTGTATGAACTAAACACCAGATGTGGATACTCAGAGAACAAAATGCACTACCAACTGCTTATGAAATTTATTATTGAGGTGAAAACTGTGTTAATCATTCAAATTGCGTACTTATATTGCAAGTATAGGAAAAACAAATCTAAGTGAAAAAGAAGGGTAGAAGTATTAAAACTACAAATGAATTATAAACACCATTGGAAACATTAGTGTTTTGATGATTATTTGCATTTTGCCCAATTCATATATCAATACAACAAAATCAAAATGTGCAACAACTTTACAAGTATTTGATGCAGTTGCACTTCACACATCACAAAAAGGTTACTTAAAGTAATTTCTATAAAATATTGTTTGTTTTCATTTACCAAACCTATGCAGACTTGAGTCTTTTGAAATTTAATACGAAACTCAATTACAGAAAATCTGTAAATATACAGAGATTTAATATTTACTTTTTTAAAGAAACAAGTGAAAATCCCACAATTGTGGCAAAAAAAAAGCCATCGCCCATTGCATGAAAAGAAGTAAAATAGCAATGATAACAAATAAGCTAACTTCTCTCTCGTGAACCGTGGAGATGAGCTAAGACATACTTTTTTGTATTGACTAAAGAGTTTAATCGAACAAACAAGTTTGATGCTGGAAAGAAAACGACACACATCTGCATTCATACATGTGTAGCCGACATATAGCTTTTTCGTAAATCTCAGCGGCAACGGTCGAAATCCGCCATTTTTTTGGCGTCATCAGATATCTAAGGCCGCGCTTGAGATAGCCACTCCAGTTATTATAGAACTCAATGTATCATATATGTTATATCACATACGTAATAATATTAGTAATACTAAAGATGACATCACGTAATGTTGAAACATGTTTATTTTGAAAAACTCCAAGAGTTACCTTAGTTGTTTACTAATCAGTAAAAGACAACAAAATGTACGCTATACGTACCTGTTTTTTCATAAGATGCCCCAAACTTAGAACTAAAAAAATCTGTGGAGTGTTTATAGCACAGGGATCTTTAAGATCATTAGTAACATGTTTCTTCAGAATAGTGACCAGGTATATACCAGGCGGAAAGCAAATTCTTATTATAAATAATAAAGCCCAAGGATAAGTGGAATTCACAAGAAAACTCCATGTCTGTATACTTTGTGATTGTGTGTGTTTTTGTTTTTTTCGTGATTTCTACTTATCCCACTTCATACCATCTTATCCCACTTTTACTTTCACATTTTTCATCCCACCATATAATTTAATTATATGTAAATAGCTATTATATATATAAATCCCTTCATACTTGTAATTCAATACTGTCTGATAATGTCTTGAGAACCAAGACGAAACGTTACGCTACTAAATAAATATTCCTTTTCAGACGTCATTTTTGTATTGAACGGCTCTTTTAAAAGTACTTTGCTGAGCTTTAATATTTATAATAAGTAAAATGTTTCTTGTTTTGTTTACAATTGTCACAAATTGAAACTGTACATTTAACGTTGTATCAACCCCAACATCATGATGATAAATTTTATTTTAACCATTGAAGACAGAAAGTGAGATATAATATTATTCAATATTATAATCAAGAAAATACTATTCAAAATAATTTAATTCCTCAATTCAAATGAACTAATGTCAAAATCGTAAAAGTTTAATTGATTTTCATCACAGTTATTGACATGACATCATGATGTTTTACATACGGGAATTGATGACAGTATATAACCTTTTCTGTCTTTAAGGCCATATGTACATAATAAAAGTACAAAAATGATCTCTCACATTTTTCAACTAATGACCATAAAACCCAAATGATGTTTTTATACATGTGAATTTTTAACAGCATACAAAACCTATTTCCACGATATTAAATTGTATTTACAGTTCTTGAAAGAATGATTAAAGAAAGTCACTGTATAATTTCATCAAAACAATCTTCATCTACAACAACACCATGTTATCAAATGATTTACAATGAATGAGTTGTTAACATCCTTCATTTCTACTTAATATATAATATTATATAATAACAGGAAGAATTTAAGCAATTTCATTGGTCAAGAGCTATGATCTATAAGAGGACAGACGCACGGAATTGACGTCACAGAAAATTCCTTGTTTTTAAATGACAAACGAACGGAGAATTTATTTGAATATTTACCTGAATATATCCCTGAATGGGCAAATAAAGAAATTAAGAATGCCTAGTTGAAGCATTGGACGCATTTGAGCAAAAAAGAAAAAAAAGCCCGGTTTTCAAACATGGATTTACCCCGGCAACTCGTGGCCACTCAGTTTTTATCACAATGACGTCATACCCGTGTATCTCTAACTGTATAGACAACAATTAAATGTTATCTATTTGTTAAATAAAAATAACCAAATTATCTAACCATACATTTTTATTAAAAAGTAAATCATCAACATGAAATTTGTTCAGAGATACAATACATAATAATAAGTTTGACAGAGCATCTTACAGTAGTAGTCGAATCTAGAGGATGCCCTGTTTAAATGACAATTCATTTATGAAGATTACAAGTAAAATGTTAGAAAGAAATAAACAAATATTCATGATCAATTAGTAAAGAAGCGCTCTTTTTAAATACAAGTCATTTGTGTTATAAAAAGCAATTATACATCGTTTCAGATTATTGCAAAACATAGATAATATTTTACATTCTAATATTTTAGAATATTCTTAGAATATTTAGAATATTTTAGAATATTTTAGAATATTATATTTAGAATATTTTAGAATATTTTAGAATATTCTTTAATATTTTAGCAGGAGGTAAGACATTCCAAGAAATAGTCCCGATAAATTTAAAACATCTTTTGCAAAATTGGTCCAAATTTATTTTTGGTAAATATAGATAATTTCTTAAAGATTGCCTGGTAGAATAAGTATACTTCTTCTGTAGAAAACTATAGTAAGTGGAAACAAGCAATCATCCTTACAATCATCAACATCTATGTGTAATTTTCTCAACAGGTTTTTTAATTTACTATTAAAGTATGAGTTGATGTATTTATTCAGGAACATTAAGTTTTAAAAATTGAATTCGGCGACCAAAACTGTAAACAGTAGCTAAAGTTCCTGTATTGGAATGTATAGTTATAATAGGCACGAAATAATGTTTTACGTAAAATTCAGCGCATACTTCACCACTCTTTAAATCTACAGCCACCAATGACCGACCACAGACCGCCTTTTTAAACACTCCAATGCAATAAGATTTGTGTACGACTAGGTTGGATTTGAAAAAAAAGTTATAGACATGATGCAAAATCGCATTCACATCACCATTCTCGTGAACATTAATTGCATAAATGTTTATACATTCTAAGCCTGTGGAAAATGTTATGGCTGCCTGTTTACTATCACTTAAAAAGCAGTTGAACTCTAGAGCATTTACAATTTTCTGTTTCTGAACAAATTTTTCAATGACAGCTGTTATGGGTATTTCTGCAGTATGCCAAGGTTTCAAGTAAAGTTCATTGTTGTTATTTCCCCATTTCCATAATGTATATTCTGTTTTGTTTACAGTTAAAATAACAGAATTATCAGGTGATACAGCTGCTGCTTTAAATTTTGAACTATCAACAGGAAGTCTTTTGTTGTATTGTATCTCACCCTTGGTAATTCTAACAACTTGAACAAACTTTTCTTTGTCAATACAAACTAAGACATCAGCAAATGTTAAGATTTTCTTAGGTTTAAATCCAATGTTAACATGCTTTGCTTGAGTAGAATCTACAAAATTTACAGACGAAGTTGATATCTTCATAAGATGGTTAGAACCATCCCATATCCACAGTAAACCATCTGACCACCAACATCCTAATGCATTCTTCAGTTGCATTGCTACAGTTTGAATAATAGTGCAACGTTCAATGCTCCAAATATAAATGTTGACGTGGTCACCAACAGCGAAAGCAGCAAAAAAAGATCCATCCGGTGAAAAACAACAACATTTAATTTGAAATTTCTCAAAGATAAATGAAGATTTTGAAAGATGACCAGTTTTGAAAAGTTTAAGCTTGGAAAAATACGACACAACGTAAAATTCCTTAAACGAGATGGGATGGAGACTTCCGCGAGTCCTATCAACACATGGACACCAAACATTTGGTAAATGAAACTCGATTTTTCCTTGATCGTCGTATTTTGTAAACTGAGTGAGTTCAGAAAGCTTTCCATTCTGGCTTGTATGATGAAAAATACAATCACGATAATGGTGTGTTCTCATTAAAGGGAAATAATTCTTTTCACTTGAAAAAATATCGATTGCCTTTGGTAATTGAAAATCACACAAAGTCTTGACGAATTCTGCAACAAAGAACTCTGAATATTTATCGGTGAATTGTAGCTCTCGGTAATCAACCACGCAGCGTCGATCAATTCTTTGCAAAGTTATTGAATTCCATACAGTGAACACTTTTTTAGGATGTTCATTGTGATGTTTTACATATCTTGCTGTAATAAACAAACCAGAATCTGAGAAAGAGCAACGATTAACGACATCATCTGACTGTAAACATGATAACAAACGTCCATTGTTAAGATCCCACAACTTTACTTCAGTAGACTCATCACTAGTTACCAGTCTATTTCCGGTAGGTGAAAAGGAGCAACAACAGATGCTTCCAGGTACAAAACCAAGTTTGTCGAAAATAGACGGTTCGTCTGAATAGTCATATAAGTAATACAGGGATTTAAATTTGTCATCCTTTTCCCATTTCTTCAGCCTTGACTCATCAAGTTCAGTGCTAAGAATGCATCTTTCTGTAAATTCAGGAAGCTCAAAAACAGATATTTGACCATTTTCATACCCTACAGCAAGAAGTTCTTCATTGGACGACACACAAAGAGATGTAACGTTAGCAAGCAAGGACTCAGTCAAATGATGATGGTTTGTTAAATATGTTGAGTCTAAATCCTCAAACCAAACAAGCTTTCCTTGTTTCAATAAGTCCTTTGCCAATAATCTTTTTTCGTTACTGCCATGAATTCTGTTTGCAATAATTTGTAAATAAATTAAGCTTTCATCAAACTTATTTGACACCTTTCTTGTCATAAAGAAATGAAATAGTACTTCCTCAAGTACATCTTTTTTCAAGAAAGTTCGTACTTCCTTAATGATTTCAAACAATTCAGACTCAATGGTATAAAAGTTAAAGTCTTCCACACACATTAACCTCGCATAAACCACTTTGACATCTACTGCCCAACTAAATTCAACATTTTCGCCACATTGTGACATATGATAGATTCCATTCTTCAAAGCATATTTAATCATAGCAGTGTTCATCTGATCTTCAAAAATGTTCATAGACTTAATTTGTTTAAACACTTTCTCACAAGCATGCCATAAAAACTTATGACCATTTTTTGGATTAACTGTAAACTCATGCTGTTCGTAACCATCTGATTTTAACCAATCAATTAGAGACTTGTGATATACGGTTAAACAATCATCGTAAACAGGCAAAATTTGAGATAACGATTCAATGATTTTACTGCAAACTTCAAACTTGATGTCACCAGAAAAACCTAAATAGCTAAACAGTAAAGTTAATGGTAAAAACTCCCGACAGGCAGCCAACAATTCAAGAAATTGCTTAAAACTAGTTTCTGAAATAACAGATTTTCTGGTACTTTTCTTCGTTAACAATTCTTTTACTCTTTTGAATTGCTTTGTGTAAACACCGCTCAACCCACTAGGGACCAATTTTTGAATGTTTTCGTAAGTAAGCTCAATATTTTGTTCTTTCAAGCTCAGTTGTGCGTAATACGCATAAAGAAATGATCCCTCACATTTTTCAACTAATGGAAATAGAGCGAAGGGATCTTCCTGCACCCGATTATTCAACTCATGTTCAAAATACTTGTGCAGGTCTTTTTCGTTGTTGTTATAACCAGGACAAGTTGCAATTTCCACAGGATTCATGACTTTCAACTCCTTTTGAACAGGAAGTTCTGGACGACTGGTGATGAAGATTTTAATCCATTTAGGCAGTCGCTCAAACTCTTCTGCAATCAATTCCAACAATTCGCTTTTGCCATCAAGTTGGCTTTCATCCAAGGCATCAATAACCAAAAGCATTGGTTCATGATCTCTCAATGAATGCAATGGATCATTTAATAAAACACGGAATGCATCGGTGATTGAGTCTTTTGAATGGTTTCTCTGTAATTCTTCATTCAGTTTACTTTTAAAATTTGATATTGTATCACACATGCTACTAGCCAATGATTCTATCAATATTTGAGGATTTCTATAATCTGATCTATTATATCTGCAAAAATGAGAAGCAGCAAGTTTCTTCTTTTCAGAATATCGTTGACACACCTCAGCAGCAAACACACTTTTACCAACTCCAGGACCGGCAATCAAAATTATGACATTAGAAGCATCTTTACTTCTATCGTTAAACCAAGTGTCGAGTGTTTTAAATAACCATTGTCTAGTGCCTTCAAGGTATTTCTTGTTAAGATCTTTAATAAGACCGTTAAAATTACACTTTCCAAGCATTTCAACATTAGAACCTGTTTTGCCCTGTACCATTTTTTTTACTCCTGCTACATCAGCTTTTGTTTTCTTTACATCCTCATTTATGCAAGTAAAGTTTTTTAACATTTCAATATAATTTACTTCATCGGGACTGAGTGGAGCTTTCTTTAATTCATCTATTTCAGTTTGTTGAATACCCAGAGCAACCAATGCTTTTGAAATTTCCTGCCACAAGTACTCAAACTCACTGTCATCTACACTAGTTGTAGTTATGTGACCATACACTTTGTTTCGATAAAACTTTATTCTTGCAATATTTGCTGAGATTGAAGTATCTGAAGAGGAAGGAAGATTATCCCATCCACCATGTGGCGCAGTTAGACCACATATGTTACGCAATAAGACAGTCAATAATGAAATGTCAAAGTTTTCAAGGTTTGGCAAACCAGTTGATGGGTAAAGAAGGTCCCATTGCTCTTTGTTAATGACGCTTCTTTTTCTTAATGATTCCAATGCACTTTTATTTGAGGGTTTATTAAGTTCATCGCTTAGATTTGACGAACGAAAATTTATATTAAACTGCAATGTTGTTTTCAAAGCTTGTGTTCCTTTATTTATCAAAAGTTTACTTAAACGAGATCCGTTTGCCTCAATCTTCAATTTTTTAGGAGGTGAAGCCATTTTTCAAACTAAAAATGAAGAATGAGTTTTTGCAAAAAGCATCAATTTTCAATGTGTAAAATTAACACAACATGGAAAGGATTAATAAAAAACAATATTACAAGAAATTTTATAAATAGTCCTCCTCTTTTATATCTTTCGTATAAAAAATTGAAATAAATACGATGTCATCTACAATTTATTTTTTGAAATAATCTTGTTACGACAAACATGATATTTCTTCTATCACTTCAACCTACACACTTGTTTCACTTATTTAAAAGTTAGCAAAAATTTCTAAAACTATTCTGGAACTGTATTAAAGGATTGCGATGTTTTTCAATCACTTTTTTCACAGCGTTAATTTAAGACTATTTGTAGTTGTTACCAGTGGCGTAGCCAGGAAAAATAGTAACCATCTCGCGCTAAAGGGGCGACCACCACTATGCTCCCCGGAAAATTTTGAACAGCAGAGCTTTGGGAACAGCATTTCCTGCGCTTTGGAAGGCGAATTACTTGTTGTCAAATAAGTTACAATAACTCCTTTTTATTAGCTGAATTCTTAATATGGCAATCGTTGAAACTGCAACTAGTTAAAAAGGTACTAAAGGTGGCTCAGTGAAAAGTTACGCAGAAGACAATTGTCCACTAAAACATAATGAATCGAACTCATCACTGCCCCTGAATAAACAGAAGAAATTTGTATTAGCACAAAAAATAACATATTATGCGACACTTCCTAAAATGCATAAGGAGAGATTGTTCTTAGCATTACACTTATTAGTTTACAATTGTTTAGATTGGGGCAGATAGACAGGAATGGCTTTATTCTTTAAAGTTATGCTTCATTTTGTCAGTGAAGTACCATGCATTATAAGAACAAATATCAAAACACATACTATACCCATTATTTATAAAGAAAGGCCAGCTTCCTGGGTTTTTTTTTATAAATTTTCCAACCACCTCATTTGCAACACATATGAATCCTCTTTTCGTTCAATGATATCTTTGCAAATAGATATTCTACAGAAAGAACTAAGCTGACCTTGACCCATTCTATTTCTCAAATAGCTTTTTACCCTTTTCAAGCAAGAAAACGATCTCTCTACTGAAGCACTTGCCACTGCCAAGACACCATTCAATTTTAACAAATTTACCACTTGACGTTAACTCGACTGGAGATTAAATTTGTGTATGTATTTAAGCACCTCATTACTGCATTCTTTCTAAAAGTCCTTGTCGTTGTAAATGAAGAAAATTTGACTCTCCAAAGTTGGAATGTCAAAAAGAGGACTATATTTATCTTTGAGAAGATTGATCTTATCCCGTGGAACTATGCCCTTCCAGGTATTAAATAGTTTAGGATTTACAAGATCTAAAAACTTGAACTGTTAATATCTTGAAATCGTTTATTTAACATGCCTTTAATGGATCAATAATCTCAAAACAAAGATTTTTGTAATTGTATCAACTATCTGCTCTGGTTGCTGGTGGGCCTACCTTTTCTAGTGCAGTTTGGTAAAACTCGATGAAAGCTTGATATGTGCGAAATGATACAATAAACTGCTTGAGGTTGTCAATCTTGCTTGTGCCATAGTTAAAATGGGTTTCCCTATTTTGAATAATGGAATACAAAAATGTGGACTGTTCTAAAATCCTTTAAAAACACACACACTAGAAAACAAAAGAGAAAGCTATCAAGATAATGCAGTAAGCCACTTATTTTAATTAAAGACTCGTCGTCTCAACCAGCTGGTTTTTCAAGTACCCCCTCAAAATATCTAAAGATTTTTTAGAGTTTTTGTGCAATACATTAATTAATCTAAATCGACAATACCATCTTGTTTCACCAGGGGCAGGAAACTCAAGGTTTTTTTGGTGTGAGAAAGGCCTTTCTTTTTGGAGCATTGCTTGTAAATGCGCTGCATGTACTGATATTAATAAAAAAGACTTTAACAGGAGAAATTGATGAGGCTGACGGACATAGGACCAGGTTCAATCTATAAGCTGCACAATGAACAAAGTGGGCAAAAGAATACTCTTGTCGAACCAATGCTTTAACATCATTGATATAGCCAGAAATGACAGAAGCAGCATCACATGTTTGCAAAACCAGTTTTTCTTTTATATCAGAATACTAACCAAATTTATCTTTGACAACTTGTGATATTGTTGTGGCATTTCTGTTCATAATTACATCCACAAATCCTAATTGCCTCTCAATAATTTCACTTGCTTTGTCAAAACAAGCGATAACACTTAGCCGCTCTTTGGTGGACACATCAGATGCTTCATCAACCTGAATACTCATAAATGTGCAATCATTTATTTCCTTTCTCATTTTATCTTCAATAATTGAATGAAAACATCTGATAAGATCATTTTGAAATTCTAGGGAGACTCCAGTAAATCTTCTTACCTCTTCATTGTGACGCTGAATCTCATTTCTTCTCGCGAGGGACATAAGACAATCAATTCGTTCACTAGATCTATACATTTTCCATGTCTTAAAAACAGTCAAATGCGATTTAGATTTTCTCATGTTTCTTAGCATCAGACATAATACTTTGCATATCGTTGTAGCCATACTTAGTCCATGATGGCGATATTTTCGGGGAAAACATTAGACATGGCCAACAAAACACTTTCTGCAAGGTTGTACAGCCACACAGCCAGTCCTTCGCCTCCTCTCTAAAATGCTCGTCCCTTGTTTTGGATTGTTAAATCAGGAGTAGGCCGTTCGTGAACGATAACATTCTGTTCGACCAACGATCGAGCAGAGAACGGTTTAGCTAATAAACTATTTGCTAAATCAACATTAGTTGAGCAAATCGCAGTCGCACTTAAAGCCATTGTGTCATACACAAATAAAAAATAGCAATTTGAGAGCAAGGACAATAGAAAATTGAACATGCGCCAAGTCCCTTAGCCAACCAGAATTCAAAACTTCTCATATATAATTATATTGTATGTTCCTCCCTCTGAAGATAAGCGGAATACTTGGAGAAATCACGTGAGTACGCAATGAAATGTGCGAGAAAAGACAGTTGCTAAGTTACAAAACAAATCTAGAGATTTTTCGCTGTTACGATTACGAACCACCGAATAAAAGCGTGAAAATGAACGAATAAAGCATATTATTACAAATTGTTTGTGAAATAATGTATATCTAATCTCCAAATAGAATATTTATTATTTTTGGGGGAAATTTCTACTCCCGCCGGGCGGAAGTAGCGGGATCGCTAGCTACGCCACTGGTTGTTACGACCGTTGATTTTCCGACAAATGTATCTAATGTATGTTTGATATTTGAACTGTAAATGTTTTAAACAACGTAAATAGTTATTTCTTGTGTCTATTGATCATGGTTTCAAAAGAATCATTTATTTTTAAATATATATAAGATATTAATTCATTTAAAGAAACTCAAAAAATATCATTCTTTTGCTTTCTCCAAAGATTCACCAGAGTAAAGTAAACCATTTGTGAACTATTTTGATTTTCCTTATTTTAACTATTGTTAATGAAACTTAGAAATAATTTCAAAGAGAAAACGAAACGGTTTTTGTAACTTTAAAATTCTGGCGTAACTGTTTGGCAACAAAAGAAGCGTCCTAAACGTTATTATACATCTTACTAGTTTAAAACAAATTCCGAAGAAGCAAGACATCTTGAGATAGTAGTATAGAGACTGCCAGTTCTGGCGCACTTCACATTTCGAGAAGGAGTATACACAAATCTAAGCGCCCCAGCCCTAGTTCGCGTACGTGATTAAAAAAATAAGCACATAGTAAGAACAAAAAATCGCACGGATAGCAAAGGCCAAACCCAGGAGCCAAAGACGGCCGGCCCACCCAGAGCCCGCGCGGCCTGCCGTCGGGGTGTATTAGTTAGTACTCATCGAGAGGGTTCCCCTCGAGGACCCAGTCCAACATCGTAAGTGGGCATCTACTCGCTCCCGTTGCAGTTTCTCGGGAGCAGCCCGGAGGAAGCGGTGAGGCCATCCCTTAGATCTCATCTGCTGCTCAACTAGCTTTTCTTGGTGCCTGGGCGACACGACATGCTTAAATAGCCATTCCCCATTTCTACCGCTGACAGCACCGCTGTCGTCACACAAGTGGCAAACGAATTTCATAGCTTTGAAATGCTCGGCTTGATTCATGACGCTCATAGCGCCAGTTTAAAATGCCAATCACTCTATACCAGCGACGGCTATTTCATACACATCATTTTATTCAAATACTGGTTTTCTCTCACTCCATCCCCTCAAAAACAACAGGCTGTAATTAAAAGAGATGTTCATCGCAGCGATTTATTATGACCACAGGTTGGGTCTGTAGTATCAATACACGACACAACCGGGTTGTACATCACATGTTGTAGTATCAATGTCGTCTTTTATTTTATATGATTTTTCCAGGTTCAAGAACGCAGTATTCGTATCAAAGGTCTGGAATGTCTCGTTTCTATTCTTAAATGTATTGTAGAATGGAGCAGGGATCTTTACTTTAAACCTGATTCTCAGGTGGACGATAATTTTGGTGAGTTTTAACATCTTTATGAAACTGAAGAAACTCGCATGTAGCGACGGTCGTCGACGTAGCAAGTCGGTATAAGGAGGCCAAGGCAATCACTGACAAGACAGAAACCCAGGTCGGGAAGGCGTTAGAGTCTATTTATGCCCGTGGACCTCTTCGATGGCCTAACGTTTTACAAGTCGACCCTGGCTCGGAGTTCCGCGGGGCTGTGCAAAAAGCGTGTGATAAAAATGGTTTCACGATTCGACGTGGTAAGGTCGGAGTTCATAGAGATCAGGGGATCGCAGAAAGGTTTAATCGAATTTTGGGGGAGCGATTGTTCGGTTATCAGTATCATCGCGAGCTGACTGAGCCCAGAACTCGGAACAAAGAATGGGTATCACGATTACCTGAGGTGGTTAAAGCGCTCGATAATCAAACTACTCGTTTGACGGGCGAAAAGCTCTCCCTTGCCATTCGGAAGAAGAGCGTTAAGGCCAAACCCGCTGCGCCGGCGCTTCGTCCAGTTGGTTTCAAAGAGCGACGCTTGCCATCGGATGTTATGGTGCAGTATTTGTATGCGCCTGGCGAACTCGAGAGTGGCAAACGGCGTAGGGTGACCGATCCTATCTGGAATGTGACCTCCCACGAGGTCGAGCGGGCTGTAGTTGAGGGCGGGAAGCCCATATTGCATTATTTAAGCGATTGGCCCAAGTGCACGTTTGTGCGCGAGGTGCTCCAAGAGGAGCCCTGTGGTACCGAAACACCGCCGGCTTGAGTTGCTGAATGAATGTCGGTTTGGCAATAAGTTTGCGGAGCAGCTTCACATCAACACGCTTTCAGAGGTTCTCCATCGTCTTGCCGAAGACGCTGTTGATCAGCAGCTTGTAGAGGTTGACTTCAAAGTCCCTCTTTGCCTTCTTCCAGAGTTCGGTGTTTTTCCGAATATAGGGCTCCACCCATGGGCTTTGATCGAAGATTGGGGACCAGCTTTTCGACCTCGTGAGACGCACCCCCATACAAATCTTTAAGGTAATTTTGCTGGTAATCCGACATCAACGCGTCGTCGACCTTCAGGCATTCTAGCGCCAACGGATATGAATTGTGCTCGTCATGCAGCTCTTTTGGGTACTCCAAATCGACTTCGAGAATGTAGCCCTTCTGTACATCCACAGGCTGTTCCAGGGTCGCCTTTGCATCCTCTTGGTCGACCCACTCGAACGCGCCTGTCGGTAATGACTACGACATTGCCCAGCCGCACTGATTGTTGGTGTCGTAGTACTGGATCTAGCTTTTTGGCTTCCCTGGATCGTAGTCTGGCACCTTAGGGTTGTTGGCTTTGGTGAAGCACCTGCTGGTCATGCTGATGTCGCCGCGCAGGCTCTTCTCAATGAAAAGATCCATGTCGATGTCAGTGAGCAGCTCGAACTCCACCCCCGTATGCTTAAGGAGAGCGTCCCAGCTCAGACCCGGGCTCGGATAATAGTAGGCCGGGTCTAGCTTGTATTGCTCGAGGCACAGTTTTTGGAAGTTCTTGAAGAATTCGACGAGAAGGAGAACATCGGTCCAAAGGTAGAGATCCTGGTAGTGGCCGAGGGTTGTGCAGCCGAAGGCGTCCAAGACCCTTGTTCCGCGGGCGTAGTCGTCATCGGTAATGCCTTTGACGGAAAGTTTGCCGTAGAAAGCCTCCTTCGGCGGAAGGACCCCTCGTCGAATCTGGACCAGCCGTCCATATACTCATAGGGGTAGACCCCTTTGCGGAGCAGGAGGGTACGCCTCTTAGGGTTTGGCTCTAAGTCTGCTGTGATGCGCATGTCTTGCGGATCGCTGGCTTCCGCCAGTCTATCCAGACGTAAGAGCATAAGCTGGGCGCTGTCGATGAATTGAAGCTGGCCGAGACTGAACGAGATGTAATTCTCGGCGTTGATGGGGATGCAGGTGACCTTCCCTTCAGTCTTTGCGATAGTCTGTATGATGAAATGGCTGTCGTAGCCCCGCAGGTTGTAAAAGACAACCGGTATGGTTGTCGTCTTCGGACTGAGCAGCAACTTGAGGCGGCACTCATTGTGGGCCGCCCCTCGGTACTTGCCAGTAATGGGGCAGTGGTCTCGCACGGAATCGTCTTCGAGGGGCTTGCTGCAAACGTGACAGGTTGCGACTTTCTTGTGGCTCCCCCAGTCTTTTCCTGTCATGTGCATATGCTCGGGGTTAGCCAACACCGTCTTGATCTTACAATCTTCTTCTTGGAGGGCATCCAGGAAATGCTTGGCCGCGTTAGGCCCTCGGTAGAGTTGCGCTGGCTGCGTTTCCCGTCAGAACAAACGACTATAAACGAGTAGCCGCATGCCTCGTGCCTCTAGGTTTGTTGGTTTGCCTCGAATTTGCAGACCTGGCTCTCGAAGTCGGCATAGATTATGAAGCGAGGTTTGAGCTGCTGTGGTAGTTCTCAAAGGTGACTTTGTCATTTTTTCCAGGGGTTGGCATTCTGATGGTTGCCTCGACATTCAGGCTTATGCTCTTCCATCAAATCCTGTCTGGTGAAGCCGTGAAGGCAACGCTCACAGAAGGGTAGCCGGTGGGTATCCTTCGATTTTCGGTTGGGAAGGCGGTTAAGGTTCTTGATCCAAGTGTAGTGTTTTTTTTCAGGATTTTTCGAATCCGAGACGAGGAAGAGATTAACAGTCTTGCGAGCTCTCTCTACTTTGCTCAGACGGCAAGGAATGACGCCGCCTTCCCAACCATACACCTTGATAGCAAGGTCGTTCTGACGCTCTACACGTTCGAGCTGGGAGAACGGTGTGGGTGCGCTCACCTCCGCAAAGTCAAGGCCGTTTTTAGTGGGATATTTGCCCGGCCGTTGCGGGTCTTTAATTGCAGGTTACAGCGCAGCCCTTAGAGACCAGCGAAGGCAGTCGTGGTCTTTGTTTTTCACGTTGACGATTGCCTTCTTATTCTTGACCGCGGTGGGGAGAGGAAAGTATGAGCCTCCGCGTAAAGGCAGGTAGTGAGCGATGTCAAGCCAGAGTGTTTTGACATGATCCACTATCCACCCAGATCCTTCCCGAGTGAACTTTTCCGATCTCTCCAGAATAGTTTGGAAGGCGTCATGTAGGGATTGCGGAATCTCATGCTCCTGTAGCAGCGTGATCTGCTTTGTCCGGAACACTGGTGCTTGAAGCACTTCAGTACCATTTCCTTCATCCCTCCGAAGCTCAACCTCTACAGCCAACTGAAACTTAACTACTCGTAGAGCTAATAGCTCCTCGACAAGTTTGAGTTCGATGTAGGGCTGGGCGTTGATAGGGAAAGCCATCAAGTCGCGTTCAAAGGGGTGCCCCTTCGGCATCTGCATTTTCCAGGCTCTCAGATGATAGCTGAAGGCCTTCATTTCATCCCACTTAAGTTTCGTAGGTGGTGGGGAAGGAGCCCTTGTGGGGCGTTGTGGTCTGCGCCTCAATGACATCTCAGCCAGAAGCTCATCGATGTATGCATCAATTTCATCATCGGTAGACTTGACGGGGCTGCGCTTGCGTGGTTTGGGGATAGGCCTGCGCTTGCGCGGCTTGGGGATAGGCGGAGTGATATTTCTTGGGGTGGGTGTTGAGGCAGCGTGCGATTGAAGAGCATTAAGAGAGGCGTTCAGCGCGTGTCCGCTGATTACATCTTGGTCATATAGTTGCAGAAGTTTATTAACAGTATCCATCTCGAGTGTCGCAAATCTCGTTGGTATGCATTAGGGGAGATATTTTTCTAAATCAAAATTAATTCTAAAAGTCGAAATCAATTCTAAATGTAGAAATTAATTCGGCGAGTACGCTAACAAACCTTTTTCTTCCTTGTTTCTGTTTATAAACAAACATATGCTGCACCCTATTCGCACCGCAGGCTTTACAAAGGATACTTTCTGCTTGTGTTCCGACCCCACATGGTTGTGGAAGTCGCTTGCCTTCCCTTAATCGCCTCATATGAAATCCGCAGTATTCACCCATGCAGCTACGTCTACATGTGGTGAGATTTCCGGATAATAACCACGCACACTTGTTCTTGCCCTGCCTCATGGCTTTCGAATGTTTGGATATACAATATGTGAGAATTTTTGTCTAAATAAATAATAGACCCCCGACGGCCGGCTGCGGAGGCGCTGGGGGTGGGCCGCCCGTCTTTGGCTCCAGCAGTTGTCCTGAGTTTGGTCTTTGCGTTATTCTGTGCGATTTTTGTGCCGAACTATGTGCTTACTGTGTGCTTACTATGTATGTGAATCACGTACGCGAACTAGGGCTGGGGCGCTTAGATTTGTGTATACTCCTTCTCAAACTGCGAAGTGCGCCAGAACCGGTGCGATTTTTTGTCGGGACCCATATATACACAGTACGAACTAGGGCTGGGGCTCTCAGATTTATGTATGCAGCCTGCCAGATGGTGAAGTGTGCCAGAACCGGTATTCTATATACTACTCATTATGACATGGCATCTGTGAATGTCAAGCGCATCACTTACTCAGAATTATTTATTATCAAACTTTTTCTTCGTGTAAGAGCCGCAATTTTTATAGTGGATAAATTGAAACAAAAAATGAAACCTACTTTCCCGTCGTGGTATTAAATATAGCTTTAAAAGTCACTGATAGAATCATTCGGAATGGAAATAAACATTGATTTGTTTATAGTCATACTTCATACTACGCAATGCTTTGGTATCAAATTTGTTAAGTTAGAAATATAAATACAAAATCTCGGTTAACTTACGTAAAATTACCTTTGTTTTAAAAATAAGACTTCATATACGACGATCGTGTGGACAAAATTATGCTTGCTTTAGTTCTTTACATGTGACGTACCTAACAAAAGATAAGAAATTTAATATAAAAAACGCGACTACATACATATCAGTTCAAAATGGTGACCATAAGTCATACATTATTAAAACATCAACTTTTTATCCATATGACTTTTGTTACATAAACACATTTATACAACGAACGAAGATAAAGAGTGAGTCAGGATCTCCTTCAACAAACAGTATTATTCTATAACTAAGTATACATCACTGACTAAAAACAATTGTTATAGAAATAAAAATACATAAATAAGAACCTCATGTAGAGTACATAATAACATTGAGATATATCGAATTCCAAAGGACTACTGTTAAATCTTATAAAGTTTCACAAGTTTTAACTCAGGAATAGAGAATCACCTATCTAAGACAGGATTTGAATGTCATTGATTAAGACACGATTTTCGAAACTGTGAATGGATTTTCCATTCATTAATCAAAAATTCCATACATGTATATTCTCGCATAAGTCAGTTCATATTATAAAAAATCTTTGTTATTAAATAAAACTTTGTAAATCATGAATACATTTTAAACATCAAGTGCACGCAATTATATTTACTTATGATCAATAAAGACACTGTAGATACAACAGTAAAGGTTGCAATGAAAGTAAATATTAAAACTGTTAAACAAACATGATCAAAAGTAAAACTGTGAAAAATCTCTGTGTTGCATGAATAAACATTTCACAAAATATAGATTTATTCTTCTCGTGTGTAACATTTGCTTATTTTGCTAATTTCCTTAGTTTTAAAATAAATGGTTTGTTTAATACAATCATCAACCTTTTTCAAGACACACAGAGTTTAGTCAAAAGTGGCGTCGGCAAAGAAGGGAGGTGATGCATAATTGTACATGTCGCCCCCCCCCTCCCTACATAAATTTTCACGTATTCCCATTTTTTCTATAGAAAAGTATAGTTTATATAACTCCCGCAGCATAAAAGTTCTGGCACCCGTACGCAAAGTTTGGTATTATTGATAGTAGATGTCAACTAGATACATACAGAAAATGTACTTAGAATTAGATAGGAAATGAACAAACAACAAAAAAAAACAACAGAATATAAGTAAAGTATCATTACTGATTGTTCTCGTTTATATCCAGATCGCAATGATTTGTATATTTTCGATAAAGAGTAAGAAGTATTAATAGATTACGCGTTCGTAAGTTTACATTAACAACAGTATTGTTTCGATTTTTGGGGACTGGCACTAGTGTTACAGTTTATAAAGAAATTCAGCATCTTACATTTAGAAAATATTCTCATGTTATTCTGCCTTCCCCCACAATTTTAAACAGATTTTACTGTGTTCCTTTACCATGCAGCGTATGGTCAATAGTTAAAAAATTGGTATATTAACTTAGATATGATTTCTCATGAATGTTTATTCATACTTCATCGAGATGTTTCTTTGGCAATTTGTTAGGTCGGTAATGTAGATATAAAATCCTGCTTTACTTTTGTAAAATTACCTTTGTTTTAGAAGTAAGACTTCATATATGACAAACTCGTCGACCAAATTATGCTTGCTTTAGTTCTTTTACATTTCACATACTCAACAAAACATGAGAGATTTAATATAAAGAACGCGACCACATACATATCTGTTTAAAAATGGTGATCATAGTTCAAACCTTATTGTAACATCAATAATGTTCATATGTTGAATGTGACAATGTGAGCAAAATAAGCTGTTCGTCAAAATCGAACTGATTTTTTAATATCATACAGCAAATGTTAAAAAATTTATCAAATGACATCAAACGAAGCGATTGACACGAGTTGCTGTCCAAAGATAAAAACCGCACTTTTATTCAAAAAAAATAAATATCTTATGTGTAAGAAATCCAAGCGTTTTTCTTTCTAACTTGATTCCTCTTTATGATAAAATCCTGTGATTCTTGAAATCAGTGAATTAGTCGACTTCCATGTCAGGCATTTTTAAACGAATAAAAGGATCATCAAAAAATGCAAAACAGCAAAAGAAAAGGAAAACGTACAGTTTTTTTGTGATAACATGACCTGGCTTAAAAATTTTATCAATTTAAATAAATTTAATTGTGCATTATCATGAGTACTGCATGTGCAACTGCATTTCAAATTTATATTTACTTATTACTGTGGTAGTGTATAATTGATGCAAATCGTTCGCGATTGATATTAATATTATTTATAGTCGTTTTGATAGGTAAACAGATCATTCGTGTTAACAAGATGACACGCAATTTACTAAACCAGGCATAAATATAAATTATCGTATTATCCAATAAAACATAGCGCCATTTAGCTTAAACGCCGATCTCCATTTCGACCGTATCGTAGCGTAACGTAGTAAAACGTAACGACGAGCATGCGCAGTGTCACTATAACTGAGGACGATTGATATCGAACGTGTCGAAAGCGGTTAGCACTATTTTCCACCCAGCAAACCGCCCTTTACTTTGAAATATAATATTTTACACAATATAATATTTTACAATCTAATATTTTACACAATATAATATTTTATATAGTATTTTACACAATCGTCGAAAAACGACATATTTTCCAGCCTGGATTATAAGTTTATAACTTAAGGTGGTTGCATGAAAATTTATACTGCAACATTTATCTGTAAATATTTTCATATGTTGATATTAAAAACTGTATTATAAAAATATAAAATTACTCGCCATCTCAAAACGACCTAGCACCAGTGCATGCATGGTTTCCTTTTAGCTTTTGGTTCTTTCCCATTAGCCGCCATCTTTAATTTATTTCCGATTGTGTAAAGTAAAGGGCGGTTTGCTGGGTGGAAAATAGTGCTAACCGTCGAAAGCTTTAATACGCGTATCAAAACCAGAGTTCGCCGAGTGTAAGCATTTTTGAAACGAATTCGTCGTACGTTTGATTTGAACCAATGAAATAACAAGTTTTCTACTCAAGTTGGCTTGTTTTTTTTTCAAAATGGAGTCGTTTGAGGAATGGCAAGATAATATAAACGAATTTTCCAGAGAAAAAGAAAACTCAGAGGCATCTGTGGCGGAATCTTTCAATAGAAGTAACAGCGAATCTACTGCTCGCGCTATAAGTGTACAAGAACCTCCATTTTTGATTAACTTAATCGAAGAAGTGCGAAAATACCCTTGCATCTGGAACGTTTCGTCAAAGTTGCATAAAGACAAACCAAGGAAACTGGAAGCATTGCGACGAATTTCTGCTGCTTTGTGTGTACCTGGTATGTTATCTTAACAATATACATTGCTTAAAATTTTGAAACCTAAAAGAACAAGATACCTGGTTTTCTTAAGCACAAAACCGTTAAATTTATAAAACAGGTAAAACTCTGTAATAAAATACAGTAGCCATTTTGTAATCACTACGGTTCTTGGTCCAGCTTCGGCAATTGAAGTGTGTCCTACATTTACTATTGAGTGTGAAAATTGTATTGCTATTAACTGCCACTTGTTGGTATAAATTTATGTCTATTTAAATGTGTTTGATTAGAAATATCTAGTTATGTGGGTTTTGCTTTATTTTATTCAATACTTCAGTTTACAAAACTTATACAACAGAGCCATTATGAGTAAAAATAAGCAAGCAGTACGTATTACACCTTCTATTTATTAAAACATATTATTCAAATGTGATACTCACCCATGCAATTATCACAGTGACATGATACTGATCATCAATATGCCAGTTAAATAAGAAATGATAGCATTAAATGATCTTTAAATAGAAGTTGATATTCTATATTCTATAGATAATCTATTTATTAAAACATATTATTCATATGTGATACTCACCCATGCAATTATCACAGTGACATGACACTGATCATCAATATGCCAGTTAATTAAGAAATGATAGTATTAAATGAGCTTTAAATAGAAGTTGATATTCATGGATAAGAAGAAAAGTCTATTTTGCAACATTCCAGACTAAATTTAGTGTAGCTCACTATTTTTTTCTGCATTGTACCTGTAACCATCCTTATATTGCAATTTCCTTATGATACTCTTCTTACATTTTGTATATGGTGCAAACCATTCCCATCCTAAGAAGGACTTGTCTGGGGTTAGACTGTAAGAAATACTTGTGCATTCCTTCTTATTGGTGTTAAAACTAAGTCAATTGGCATGGGCCATAGCTAGAGAACTAAATTGGGAGAGGGAGGTTTGTTTTTTCATATATTTATTTGAGCTTGACTGATTTCTTTAGAAAGCCAAATCATTTTCAAAAGAAATCAGTCTGACGCTACTGAATATAAGAATAAACACACCTCCCCCCCCATTTATAGTTTTAGCTATGGCTCTGCAATTGGCTACTAAACAACTATGTTTATGAAGGGCATAACATCTTCTAACAAATGCACTGAACAAAGTTTGATATACAGGTTTTTATTTTTCTAAATCTAGAGGATGTAGTTTGTAAAGAGTTTGACAGACTGAAGGATAATTATAGAAGATGCATTAAAAAGCGAGAGTTGGCGATCAGGTAGTGGGACAAGTAAGAAATTGCCAACTTGTGAATATTTCGTTGAGTTGTCCTTTTTGCGTGATGTGATGACTGGACGAAAAACTGAAACCAACATCCCAATTGAAATTGCCGAGAATCCTGATGTGCTCTCCACCGATGAGGATAGACCATTTACATCATTTTCACCAATCACTGTGGACAATTCCCATGCAAAACTAGAAATTTCAGACTCAAAACCTCTTCAAAAGACTCGGAAAAGGCGATCAGATCAGATTGAAGATCTTTTGGCCTTAAGCTTTACCAATGATATAGCATATGCTAAAAATGGTGATTCGAAAAAGACAACTAACGCAGAAGACCAGGACATTCTTTTCTGTTCCAGTTTGGTTACTACCTTTAGGAATTTGACTGGAAAGAAAAACAAATTGGCTAAGATCAAAGTATTGCAAGTTCTTGCTGAGTTTGAAGATGATGACGAAATGTAACAGAAT